CATTAACCAGGAGTTGTACTTCTCTTCCACTCATAAGTGGTTTTGAGAGAATAGTTTATTCTTCCCTAGTAGGTCATGCCTTCGTGACGTGACACCCTGCAATAAAGCACAGGCAGCCTGATCACAGTATCAACAACCAAGGATCTTCAGCTTAAATGGTCTTATTTCTGGATCGACAGCCTCAACATGGTCTCAACGCTGCTAATGACGTCAACGATGTGAGTACATCTTGTTTAAAAAAATCACAAATAAACATTATCTCTCTGGCCATTCCTCCACAACCATCTGAGTGGAAATCCTGCATTCTTGTCAGATTTTCTTTCAGATTAGGTAACAACATAACTACAGATGCCCCCCCCCCCCCAGTACATGCGTCTTGCTGGCAGGTCACTTTAATGAAGATCAGGGAGTATCTGTCTTAAGCCGGAGCTGACCCGACACCTGACCTGACAGCTCAGTGCCAGAGTCTATCTAACCTGTAGGCTGCTGAGAAGCTTACTCGTATAAGGTGGAGATGTAACATGTGTTTTCATGTATCTGTGGTCTACATGAGTCATTGTTTGAGCCACCTTGTTTTATTCAATCCAGACCCTCTTTGCTCAAACTGGAGGCAACATGGTTTACTGTAGCATCACCGATGTGTTTTTATGTAAGCCTGCTTTAAGAAGCACTGAGAGTATCAATAACTCTAAACTGTAAACAGCCCCCCTGAGTCCAGATTGTGCCACACTGTAGTCTCAACTGTGAGTTACGGTGACCGTGAGCTTCTGGTGCTTCTGCTGTGATCTGATATGAGCCCAAATAGACCTTGAGCCCCAGAGAACCTAGACCACAATTTACATCCCCATGTTTTCCTGCTGTGCCTCAGGAAAAGGAAAATCTACTGATGGACCGCCAAAGATAAGGAAATCTTGGAACAGAAACAAACAAGAACAAAACTTTGTTTTAAGCAAGGACACCCAAGTAATGGTTCATGACTGGAGCCTGGAAGCTGGTTTAGAACTGAAAATAACACAGAAAATTAACATTATCCAAAATATGATCACTATTTCTAAGAATAAACTGTACAATTTATTTACAGGGTTGTTATTTGTGCAATTATTATGCAGATTGTGTCTGTAATTACAACATTCTGACATTAGAGGTGACTGTTGTCAAACAGGAGTGGCATGTTTACAGGAATTATTCAGATTCTGCCTGTAGTTGCAGCCTTTTGACAGGAGGGGTCACTGTTGTTTCACAGGTCTGACTAACTATAAAAACCCTTCTTACCCTAAACTAAACCTAAACCTAAACCCTTTTTCCAAATATGTCTTAAAATAGTCACTAGCCTATTTATACATTGAAACTGTTGTAGCTTGCCATAATCATTTCTCCCTTTCTGTTCCAGAGTCCATGAAGTTAATGTGAGCTTCAGTTAAACAAATCAAGAGAGTATCTTTCAAAGTCACCACAAGACACTTGGCGTGTGTGGTTTCTACAATATCAGAGAACAACAAACATATCACAATGATTAACAACAACATACTGTAACACAGAACGCAGTCAAAGTTACACTGAAAGTCCATCAAACTTTGCCCACATCAATACATCAGATATACTGATCTAATTAAATAAAAATAATTTCAGCCTGTAGTAAGTCAAACATATGAAATTAAAATAAACATCAGAAGGCAGAGGCTGAGTCTTGAGATCCGTCACTAATTTGATATTGTATATTACACACGCGCGCTGTGGCCAAGTGGTTTGTTGTTTGAACTGACACCGAGTTCACACTACAGTACACCAGACGATGGCAGTATTTGAACAGGAAATAAGTCTCCTCAGACTGTAACACTAATCCATATGACTCAAACATTTAAGGAGCAATTAAGACTTATAATGTTCATTTAAAAAATAATAAACTTAAAGTCATAGTCACATCTAAAACAAACCAGTGGATTAATCAGCACGATTGAAAACTATTTAAGATTAAAAAAATTACACATTCGAGGTTTAGGTCACGAGGTTTCTAATCTATTAGCTTTCTATGCTACTTCCGGTCGTAACACAATTACTAAACTTTACAAATCAATTTTGGCGTCACGTCACATAACATGATGAAAAGCCATCAAATGATCTGCATCTGATGTGGGTCAAGATGATGTGTCTTATCTCACTGGACTCCTCTGAATTCAGCCTCCTGTCTGTTTATTTGTCTGTTTATTTGCTTCTTTGTTGTTGTTGTTGTTGTTTTCGTTTAATTTTAAAGTACAATTAATTTAATGCAGCAGTGATGGAAATTGTGTCTTTAGTCACAGTGCTCGCAGCACCACTTGACTTAAAACCTGTCGGTGTGTTTGGAAACTCTCGTCTGTGCTTCAATTAAAGACAATAGGCTGCAGCCAACCCGAATGAGGTCAAAGATTAGGCTTGGGTCGGGGTAATAAATTAAACATCGGATCCTAAATTATTAATTTTCTTTGAGGATGGAGGACCCGGAGCATCTGTATCTTTAATAGTGAGGACAGAGATGGGAGAGGCTGCGCGTTCACGGCTCCTTTTCTCGCTCCGTGGCGTCGGGAACGCGCAGTGAATCCCACACTTAGCTGGAGAGGAAAAAAGCGCCGTCGGACGTCAACAGCAACTCACCGGGGAAAAAAATGTTCCCTCCACCGCCCTTCATCAACGCTGTCGACGTCTGCAAAAGTCATGTGAAAGGATCCACTACATACGAGGACTCGAGTTTTTTCGGCCATTAAACTTGTTTAAGAGGATTGTAAACTCCGGGAAGTGATTGATAAGACACAGGAATTGAAGTTAAAATTGGAAAGGTAAGATGATTCAGTAGTTAATGGGGCAGTTACTGTCGGTAAAGGATGAAAAAAGAAGCATCCAGATCTCAGTTAATGTGGAAAGCATCGCCCTGTAGGTTAATTGTAACTGATACATCACAAGGGCATATATGCGCAAAATCTACCTCTATGTAAATTGACATTGGAAATTATGCCATTCAACTCTTGCTAAAAGTGAAATGTTTTTGTTTAATTAACTGTAAAAATCTAAGGTTTTATCACCAAAAAAGCGCGTTTGTCCGCACAGTATTATGGAGACGCGCTCAGAGCAGGAGAGACCACATGACCCTGAAATTGCTGCAAATATGACACTCAGCAAATGTGCATTTATGCTTTTCTAACGTGCTCGGACTTCCACAAATGTCTTTTTAGTGCAGTGCATTGGTTAAAGTACCATGTGAAACAACAGGAAGCTTTGCATGTTATGCATTGAATCATATTGTATGACAGCAGTATTCATAGGGTTGTTTTTGTTTTCTGTTTCTTTCATTTTACGAGTTTGTAATGCAACTTTGAGCTGCATTACCGTGCTTTGATTCCCCTTTAAAAAACAACCTACTCAATAAAACATATTTGAGTGAATATGGAATGTAAAAGCTTCCACAGTGCGTTTCCGCTGCTGTAATGGATATTATGTTATTGTCTGGATACAATTTGACCTTCCGTTAATGTCTGACAATTGATGCTTGCAGGTGCAGAAAATGGCGAGACGGCTCCTGCAGCTCCTTGCCTTGTGGACAACTGTGGTTGGCAATGTGCAGTGCTGTCCAGAGCTCTGCAGCTGCCAGGATAAATTTGCCCACCAGTTTGCTGACTGTGCTTACAAAGACCTGCTGGTGGTACCAGTGGGTCTCCCCACCAATGTTACCACTGTGAGCCTTTCTGCCAACAAGATCAAATTACTGAAAAGTAAAAGCTTCATCAGTATCACACAGGTCTCCTCTCTCTGGCTGGCCCACAATGAGATAGTTACAATAGAAACCGACTCCTTGGCCCCCCTGATCCAGCTACGCAACCTGGACATCAGCTACAACAAAATCGTGAACTTTCCCTGGGAGGATCTGCACAACCTCACAGCCCTGCAGCTTCTGAAAATGAACAACAATGAGATGGTGAACCTTCCAAAGGACGCCTTTTCCACTCTCAAAGACCTACGGTCGCTGCGCATCAACAACAACAAGTTTATCACCATTGTGCAGGGTACCTTCAGTGCTCTCTCCTCCATGTCTCACCTACAGATTTTTAACAACCCCTTCACATGCTCCTGCAGCCTGGAGTGGCTGAGGGATTGGATCACGACAACTAAGATTTCCATCCCAGAGCCAAAATCAATTGTATGTGAGGCCCCTGAACACCTGAAGGGTACAATGGTGACACTGATTCCCAAACTGGACTGTATGCAGTCTAACTGCCTGCACCTCATTCCTGCCTTGGCACACGAGAACTATGGCGGCTACGAGTGTGTTTCCAAAGAGAAAGACGACACCAAAGTGGTGAAAACGTACCAGTTTACAGAGCAAATGATTCCAGATACAAATAAAAACACTGAGACGATCAACACCCTTTCACAAATAAATGATGCATCAGCTGTTGTGCCGCAGAAGGCTTGGATCATCCTTGGACTTGCAGTGTTGGGGATTTTCAGATGGGATTTGCAAAAATGACTATTTAAACTTGCAAAAACACATCGATATTAGCTGCAGTGTGAGCAATGGACATATTAGTCCCACAGTCCACTGGAACAGATTTGAGATGGTGGTTGAAGGTGATCGTTTTGCATCTACAGTGTGTGCACATATCTTATATTGAAGCTACTTTTGTACTCCGTTATTTACATAAAAGAGACTGTGTAACTTTCGGCAATCTGTAACCACTGTTGCCCCAGTGCTAATAATGAGATAAATGCTGGCTAACACATCAGCAAAAGTCAGAAAATCAGCTTAATAATAATCTATTATACTGTAGAGCAATATTTTGCTAAAGTTTTCTAACATTAGCAACCAAAAGCTATACCAACAGCTCATATCAGACCAAGTAAGACTGTAGCAGCAAATCCAGTGTAATACATGAAGTAGTGGTGTGTTTCATTGCTTATGGATTCAATTTGTAAAAGGAAATCCTCCTCTGAACCGTTACAAAGTCTGAATTTTAACCAGAAATGACTCTTTACTATGTTTAAAAAATACTAAGCTAAATCATTTATGATGTGAACAGTATTTTGGTACGATCTTTTGGGAGATTTTTATACTTGCAAGCAATATGTGTCCTTATAATTTCAGAAAGTATATTTTTGCATAAAGTTAGCTTGAAAAGGCTACCTGAAGAATGTAAGTGATTATTATTGATTTCCTGCTCATTGAAATAATAAAGAATGGAGCTGACATTAACCAGGAGTTGTACTTCTCTTCCACTCATAAGTGGTTTTGAG